GCACTGAAAGGGATAAAGGATAAGCCTGACACTCCCCTTTCCTGATGAGCACCCAATCAGTGCTCATTACACTGCGCAGTCTCTCTCCTCCCTAGATGCGGTGCTGGAGACAGGCTGGGAGGTGAGTAGGAGATAGACAGTGTACCGATAAAATTATTAAATGTTTAGGTCGCCATAAAGCCTCTTTTGTTTTTAAAAGCCCTAGACATTCCTAAAAGCGGTTTTGATAAAAAATGTTTTTTCTCATGACAAATAGATTGTCATGAGGGACAAGTAGACTGGGACACCAATGTAGTCCCTGGACAAGGAGATTTTTTTAAAAAATGTCTACACCCCTGATTAATGTATGGCATATAGAATGAGGTGCTGTGGTATAGAGAATGTACAGTATGTCATATGGTAAGAAGCAGTGTGGAAAGGGAAACTATAGTATGGCATATGGAATAAAGTGTTGTGGAATAAGGAATGAACAAGCTTGTTATATGTGATGTGGCAGTGTGAAATAGGGAATGTACAGCATGCCATATTGAATGAGGAGGGGCAGAATAGGGAATGTACAGCATGGCATATTGAATGAGAAGGGACAGGCTAGGGAACGTACAGCATGGCATATAGAATGAGGTGAGATAGAATAGGGAATGTACAGCATGGCATATTGAATGAGGCGGGACAGAATAGGGAATGTACAGCATGGCATATAGAATGAGGCGGGACAGAACAGGGAATGTACAGTATGGCATATAGAATGAGGCGGGACAGAACAGGGAATGTACAGTATGGCATATAGAATGAGGCGGGACAGAATAGGGAATGTACAGCATGGCATATAGAATGAGGCGGGACAGAATAGGGAATGTACAGCATGGCATATTGAATGAGGCAGGACAGAATAGGGAATGTACAGCATGGCATATAGAATGAGGCGGGACAGAATAGGGAATGTACAGCATGGCATATTGAATGAGGCAGGACAGAATAGGGAATGTACAGCATGGCATATAGAATGAGGCGGGACAGAATAGGGAATGTACAGCATGGCATACTGAATGAGGTTGCACAGACTAGGGAATGTACAGCATGGCATACCTTTAAGTCACAAAATGATCCATGTGGCCACTATACAGGTGAAACTCGAAAAATTAGAATATCATGCAAAAGTTCATTTATTTCAGTAATGCAACTTAAAAGGTGAAACTAATATATGAGATAGACTCATTACATGCAAAGCAAGATAGTTCAAGCCGTGATTTGTCATAATTGTGATGATTATGGCTTACAGCTCATGAAAACCCCAAATCCACAATCTCAGAAAATTAGAATATTGTGAAAAAGTGCAATATTCTAGGCTCAAAGCGTCCCACTCTAATCAGCTAATTAAGCCATAACACCTGCAAAGGGTTCCTGAGCCTTTAAATGGTCTCTCAGTCTGGTTCAATAGGAATCACAATCATTGGAAAGACTGCTGACCTGACAGTTGTGCAGAAAACCATCATTGACACCCTCCATAAGGAGGGAAAGCCTCAAAAGGTAATTGCAAAAGAAGTTGGATGTTCCCAAAGTGCTGTATCAAAGCACATTAATACAAAGTTATGTGGAAGGGAAAAGTGTGGAAAAGTGTGGGAGAAAAAGGTGCACAAGCAGCAGGGATAACCGCAGCCTGGAGAGGATTGTCAGGAAAAGGCCATTCAAAAGTGTTGGGGACTTTCACAAGAAGTGGACTGAGGCAGGAGTCAGTGCATCAAGAGCCACCACACACAGACGGATCCTGGACATGGGCGTCAAATGTTGTATTCCTCCTGAACAACAAACAACATCAGAAGTGTCTTACCTGGGCTAAAGAAAAACAGACCTGGTCTGTTGCTCAGTGGTCCAAAGTCCTCTTTTCTGATGAGAGCAACTTTTGCATCTCATTTGGAAACCAAGGACCCAGAGTATGGAGGAAGAATGGAGAGGCACACACTGCAAGATGCTTGAAGTCCAGTGTGAAGTTTCCACAGTCTGTGTTGATTTGGGGAGCCATGTCATCTGCTGGTGTTGGTCCACTGTGCTTCATGAAGTCCAGGGCCAACGCAGCCATCTACCAGGAGATTTTGGAGCACTTCATGCTTCCTTCCGCAGACGAGCTTTATGGAGATGCTGACTTCATTTTCCAGCAGGACTTTCCACCTGCCCCCACACTGCCAAAAGCACCAAAACCTGGTTCAATGACCGTGGGATTACTGTGCTTGACTGGCCAGCAAACTCGCCTAACCTGAACCCCATAGAGAATCTCTGGGGCATTGCCAAGAGAAAGATGAGAGGCATAAGACCGAACAATGCAGAAGAGCTGAAGACCGCTATTGAAGCATCCTGGTCTTCCATAACACCTCAGCAGTGCCACAGGCTGATAGCTTCCATGCCACGCCGCAGTTAGGCAGTAATTGCTGCAAAAGGGGCCCAAACCAAGTACTGAGTACATATGCATGCTTATACTTTTCAGAGGTCCGATATTGTTCTATGTACAATCCTTGTTTTATTGATTGCATGTAATATTCTAATTTTCTGAGACTGTGGATTTGGGGTTTTCATGAGCTGTAAGCCATAATCATCACAATTCTGACAAATCACGGCTTGAACTGTCTTGCTTTGCTTGTAATGAGTCTGTCTCATATATTAATTAGTTAAATGTACTTATAATGCCGCGCTCCTACTATAAATACTTGATCATATATAGTGTATCACTCGTAATAATCAATAAAATAAATGAACTAATAATTGATAAATAAACTTAAAAATCAATTAATTAATTGTTGTGATGAGTAAATACAAATCAAACCATTATTGTGCTAAAGCATGCCATTAGTGCTCAATCAATAATATCAATGCCATAATAAATATTCTAATGTAATTCATATATTGCATGAAAGAATAAATAAATAAAAAATCTTATATATATCTTTGTGCAAATGTGCAATGTGCAGGTGAACTCCTTATTCCCTCTTTCCAGGTGCCGTGTAGTCTCAATATGCGCTCACCTTAGTATTTGCCCAAATAAATTTAGGCAAATAGACTTTTAGTCCTTCCAGGACTGGTGGGATAATGCTCCTCTATGCAGTATTCCAGATGGATGTGAAGGCCTGCTCAGATCCTCCTATAATCTCCTCTCAGTTCATCCACATAGCCTCTCATAGATAGACATTTGGAAAGGGTATGAGTGTCTCCTATTTCCCCTCCTGGGGACACCTCCTTCTCATATCCACCTTTCCTCAGTATTGGATATGTAAATCAGATGGAGAAAAAAAGACCATGGTGCCTTATCCTTTTAGGTAAGAGTATTTATTGCTACCAGATGCGGTGATACAGGCATTTAAGGCACTTATCTTGTGCAGATATGCAGAGCTTGCGATTCCCTCTGCCTCTCTGTCTGCCTCTGCTAGAATCGCCGAGCCTCTCCGATGCAACGTCGTGACGTCAGAGCCCCTCCCCTACGCGTTGCGTCACAGGGTCACGTGACTTCATCAGGGAGAAAATGATTGGCCAACGCAGCCATCTACCAGGAGATTTTGGAGCACTTCATGCTTCCTTCCGCAGACGAGCTTTATGGAGATGCTGACTTCATTTTCCAGCAGGACTTTCCACCTGCCCACACTGCCAAAAGCACCAAAACCTGGTTCAATGACCGTGGGATTACTGTGCTTGACTGGCCAGCAAACTCGCCTGACCTGAACCCCATAGAGAATCTCTGGGGCATTGCCAAGAGAAAGATGAGAGGCATGAGACCAAACAATGCAGAAGAGCTGAAGACCGCTATTGAAGCATCCTGGTCTTCCATAACACCTCAGCAGTGCCACAGGCTGATAGCTTCCATGCCACGCTGCAGTTAGGCAGTAATTGCTGCAAAAGGGGCCCAAACCAAGTACTGAGTACTATGCATGCTTATACTTTTCAGAGGTCCGATATTGTTCTCTGTACAATCCTTGTTTTATTGATTGCATGTAATATTCTAATTTTCTGAGACTGTGGATTTGGGGTTTTCATGAGCTGTAAGCCATAATCATCACAATTCTGACAAATCACGGCTTGAACTATCTTGCTTTGCTTGTAATGAGTCTGTCTCATATATTAGTTTCACCTTTTAAGTTGCATTACTGAAATAAATGGACTTTTCTACGATATTCTAATTTTTCGAGTTTCACCTGTATGTGTTACCCCAGTCTAAACAAAAGCATATTCATGGCACTTTTACTGCTCGTAGGCTTTAAAAAAAAAAAATCAACAAAGTGAAAGAAAAAGTGAAAGAAGAAGTGAGTGCTTTGACATGGGTATTTTTATGGAAAAGTCCCTGAAAACCACCTAGAACTAGAAGATACCATTACAGAATCCAGGGGCACGCTGTTCAGAACAAAATGCTTTGCTTCTCTTAGTGAGTGAATTGGACAACAAACACTTAGAGGCTTTCAGTTACTTGAGATGCAAGTTATGTAAGCACCAGGGCACTACTTAATACGAAACATAATATTTTAAATATAGTATTAGCTTACCAGAGCAATTTAGAAAACCAGCCACTGAAAAGTACACATTAAGTTTATCCCCTACATAAATCATCATATAAAATGATGGTACTGTAATGTATCTAAATGTAATCACTCAGTCAGTCTTTGATGGTCAAGCTCATTCCCATGTCAAAATCAGAGAGCTAGTCTTTGCATTCAGCCCAGGTGAGCACTGTTACTGCAGCCTGCTTACATTCCATGCATTTTGTTTATTGGCTCAATACAGCATTTCTTGGCATGTCAGGAACTATCATTAAAGGTAATTTTTTTTTAAATTGAATAAAAAAAGAACTTACTCTTACCTGTTCTGTGCAACAATATTGCAAAGATAGGTCCATTACCTCCTGTTTTAAAAGCCCCTAGCCCGCACTGTCCACTTCACCCTGCTTACGGGTGCCTCCTAAGCCAGGCAAGTGCTATGGCAACATGCTTCCAAGTTGGGCTGTGTGCATCCATAGCCATACAGAGCTCCAGTAAGCCATGCCCTGCCAGGGGCGGACTGACAACTCATGGGGCCCCCGGGCAATAGGGGATCATGGGGCCCCTGTGTCCCTGCCCAAACTCAAAAAAGCCTATGAAAAAGGTACCAGGGGCATCTCATGGGGTCCCCTACTGACCCCGGGCCCTCGGGCAGTGCCCGAGTTTCCAAATGGTCAGTCCGCCCCTGGCTCCTACTGCCCTCAGTGCCTCCTGAGGGACCAGGAAAAGAGAAGAGCGATACTGCAGCTGAGAAAATGCTGGATCGGTGAGAGGAGGCAGATAAGTGTTTAGGCATGGGCTGGTGGAACTGTTAGGGGAAATTTTTAACTTTGATGCACAGTCTGACTTTACAACCACTTTAGGCACCCCATTATGATACTGACTTTAACCACTTGCCTACTGGGCACTTCTACCCCCTTCCTGTCCAGGCCAATTTTCAGCTTTCAGTGCTGTCACACTTTGAATGACAATTGCGCGGTCATGCAACATTGTACACATATGAAATTATTAGCATTTTTTCACACAAATAGACCTTTCTTTTGGTGGTATTTAATTGCTGCTGGGTGTTTTATTTTTTGTGCTTTAAACAAAAAAAAGCACAACATTTGCAAAAAAAAGTTTTTCTTTGTTCCTGTTATAAAATTTTGCAAAAAAGTAATTTTTCTCCATCACTGATGTGCGCTGCACTGATAGGCAGCACTGATGGGCACTGATGAGGTGGCATGGATAGGCAGCACTCATAGGCACTGATAGGAGGCACTGATAGGCAGCATTGATAGGCAGCACTGATGAGCTGGCACTGTTGATGCTGCACTAATAGGCAGTACTGATGGGTGCCACTGCTGGGCACTGATGGGTGGTGCTGAAGGGCAGCTCTGATGGGCAGCACTGCTGGGCAGCACTGATGGGTGGCAATGATGGGCAGCATGGATGGATGGCACTGATGGGCACAGGTGGTTGGCACTGATGGGCACAGGTGGGTGGCACTGCAGGGCACAGGTGGGTGGCACTCATGGGTACAGGTGGGCGGCACTGATGGGCACAGGTGGGCCGCATTGACGGGCACTGATCATCAGGGCACTGATCGTTTAATTTAAATTTTCTTGTTGCTAGGCAAATTTAAAACACGGCAAAAAACATGGCAAAAATGCACTACATGCTTTTCTGCAGCATTTCCATTGAAGTCTATAGAACCAAAAATGCAACTTTTTGCATTCAAAAAAGTCCCTGACCCTTTACAAAAAACGCACCGGGTAAAAACGCGGAGATGTGAACATAGTCCCATAGGAAATCATGTTAAATGGACTGTACTGTGTTTTTGAAAAACGCAAAACACTGTGGAAACCGCTTATATGTGAACCTAGAATTAGATATGAAGTGTGTTACTAGCCAGATCAGGAAAAACACCTTAAAGTGGAGTTCCAGTGAAAATAAAAAAAATAAAAGTCAGCAGCTACAAAAACTGTAGCTTACTTACCTGTCCCTCGATCCCGCGCGCGTTTCATCGGCTGCCTTGTGTTTCCGGCACCAGCATCTTCAATGTGGGCATGCGGCTGTGACAGCTTTTTTTCAGCTGGTTTTACAGCTAGTTTCACAGCCGGGTGCCCACTGTGCATGCGTGAATAGTGCTGCGCTTTGTGAATGGTCCCGTAGTCTTCTGGGACCAGTCATGTGTCCCAGAAGACTAGGGGGAGGGTGGGGGTGAGGACAACTTCAGCTACTGATCACCTAAGTGGGAGTAGGTACCTATCAATTTTGGGTATCTGCCCCCTCTCCCCAAAGGTGCCAATCCTTAACAGGGGACCAGTCCTTAAAGCGGAACGTTTGCTTTAAACAGAAAACAAAAGCAGCCACCACATTTAAGGATTGGTAAGATGAAATGTATTACATTTTTGTGTTATTTAGTACCAGGCTAATTTTAAAGCTGACCACTGGGCTCCCCTTATATACCCCACCTGCCTTTAACTGAACACTGGCTTTACATGAACACGTCATATTGGCTGTCCAGAAGTGGGTCCTCTCATGATCCAGTAAAGGAGCATTCAACATGACATCAGCATAAGGGGACCAGCCAGTGTGGGTGCATCTGTAGAGCTGGATTAGCAGTTCACAATTGTCCATACCCGGAAACGGTGGTGGTGAGGGACCTGGATGGGGGAACTAATAAGGAATGTTACAAAGTGAGAAAGGCAAAAGCATGCAGGATGGCTAGAGGGGGTAGGAAGGAGATTAAAGATGGGCGTTTGAATGTATGAAAAGCCAAAGCTTTCTTTTTTGGTTTGGATAAAGCATGGAAGAGTTAGAATCTCTGTTAGGTTTTTATTATACATGCACCCTATCTGTTTATCCTCGTGGCCACTATCAAGTAGACAGAAAAGAGATGGGAAATCCAGAATATTACTGCTGTCACCAGAAAAAAAGAGAGAAAAATCTTCCAGTGGTGTAACACTGCCCACTTAGGATTCGCTGACTTTAGGGTCCCTCTTAAGCTCTGCTCAGCTGGGCAACACGCATTTTCCACACTTTGCACACTGGAGTCAAAGAAACAGTCCTTGATTTTGTATTTTTATTTAGGGGTTAAACTTGGATAGGGTCTGGGGGTATATGGGATGCCTGAGGAACTGCAGAACTTGAGGAAAAACTCCTTAGCAACTATATACAAAATGCCAATAGCAACAGTCTCTCTCCTCGAAGGGCTCCAAAGATTCTTCCTAGGGCACCTCCTTAGACCCATTTTGTTCTCTTCACCTAGCTGCACTGAGGGTATTCCCTGATCAAGGTGGCCTAGCAGCTGTTAATTTAGAAAAAATCCTAGATGAGAAGCTAGTTTGGTTTTCCACCTGACTGCCCTCTCCCCTTATCCAGCCCAGGGAATGTAAGAGTACTCACACTGTCCTCTCCAGTTAGCTTGGTGGGTTGGTGGCTACCTTCAGGCCTTTCGCTGGGCTGGCTCCTTCCCTGTTGCCCCCTCCCAGGCTCCACACTCCAGCATTTCTCAATCCCATCTTCCACCCAACACTCCCTGCTGCACAAGCTCTACTAATTTTAAGGGTTACCTTGGTCACTATGCCAAGCCTCATACCAGGGGATTGGCCAAGGTCCCTCAAACATGCAGATCTGAGCCTCCTCCCTCGTCCCTCTTCCAGAAAGCTGTCTAAGTTTCTGGAAGGGTGGAATGGCTCCAGAAGCCCTGACTTGTTAGAGCCTCTCAGCCTGTCCTGGGGTGAACTCCTGCCTCATTCACAGGCTGACTCGTCCCAGGCCAGGGGCGGACTGACTATTTGGAAAATCGGGCACTTCCCGAGGGCCCGGGGTCAGTAGGGGGCCCCATGAGATGCCCCTGGTACCTTTTTCATAGGCTTTTTTGAGTTTGGGCAAGGACACAGGGGCCCCATGATCCCCTATTGCCCGGGGGCCCCATGAGTTGTCAGTCCGCCCCTGTCCTCAGCATCTGCCAAAAAAAGAAAAAACAAACAAACAGCCTATCCAGCTAATCTGGAGGGTGTTACATTGGGAACACTTGTGACAACTATATTTTAGATGGTGGTGACAATGATCACCAGGACAAACAGATAATGTGAATTTTCCCAGCAGTAATACAGACAGCAATACAAAAACAGAGAGGAGTTCTAAACCTTCCCTACTCCATACAAAACTAAGGGCTCTTTCAGACACGCTGCAATTCTTACCAAACCTTCAGTGGATTGCTTTTCAAAGGGCAGCAGCTGACAGATACTGCTACTGCCCCCTTGACACCTGTTTTTTTTTACTTTGACTTTTAAATTGCAGAATGGTATTTTACATTGCAGGAGCGCACAGCAACTGCAAGCCGAGCATTCGGCCGAAGGTTACAGTGCAGCCCCATTAAACTCAAACGGTGCGTTAAACAGTCAATATTGCCTGTCAAACACTACACCACCCTGAGCTGAAAATGCCACAACCATAATGCAAAGCATCACAGCAGCTGCATGTGTACAGCCTTGTCTAGCTGTGACAGTTCAGGTGGGTGGCCAGGTGGGGTGATAAAACTGCAGGATCAGAAGCCTGTTTTTACTGGCTGGGAGGCTGGTAAAAACTTCCCTCTTTGGAGAAGTATTTTTTCATATTCTGTTGTGACTCTGGGACAGAAAAGTGAAAAGAAATCTTCCCAGTGAGATACAAACTGCAAAAAAAAGGAGTATTGCATATATATATAACCATTATATAACTATTATAACCAATACAGCCATTCCCTACTCTCCTCAAAATAACAAAGCAAAAAATATTTTGACTTTAGATGCACTTTAACTGCCAGTAACTGGCAGTTGAGCACATTACAGCTCTGAGCCTGGGTTCACACTGATGCGGTGCAGAATTCACACCGGTTTCTGTGTGAATTCTGCACCGCATCACAATCACACCCCATTCACGTGAACCGTTGCATGTGTGTATGTTAAGTTAACAACATCCTAAAATCGGTCCACAAAATGCGGTGTGATGTGCAGAATCCAATTCTAGTTTGGACCAAAAAAAGGGTCCTGCATTCTTTGGTGCGGATGCGGTGTGATTTGAGCCATACAAAACATATGGCTCAAATCGCACTGCACAGAATTCGCATGTGATTTGCACAGGAATGCGGTGTGGTTCCAGTGCAAATCACATGTGGTATGCCACACTGCACAAGTGTGAACCCAGGCTAAATGTCAATCTAAATAAAACATAAGAAAGCATAGTAAAGCATCTATTTAGTTTTAATTTCTTGTTTTCTTTTTTTCCTGAATGTGAAGTCGGAGTGTCTTCTTTAATACAGTTGTAGGTGGTATCTGGAATAAATAGTGCTTTTGGCTCTCACATGAATGCGTGTTAAAAACCATAAATCTCCAGGTCTGTGAAGTTTGGAGTGAAATTGCCCTGGAAGCCTTCCTTCTTTTCCCAACGCTACCATTTATCATGTTTCCTTACAAAACAATCTCTGGTATAAACATCTGTAGTTTCTGAACACCACGTTCTCCACTTTATTTTGAGGTAATTCAGCTGTTTTGCTCAAATCAAACATTAAAATTTAGAACTGAAAAGTGATTCTACTTAGCAATGGATGAAGAAAAGTAGATGCCTAAAAGTACAAGATCTGCGTTCATGATTTGCACAATTCCCCGTCATAGAACACATAAATAGCCGTCTTTGGGTCCAAATCATTAGCAACTAAA